AACTGAGAATTATATAACGCTATTTCGTTTAGCGTAGGTCAGTTATTTAGCGTTTCCTTGTATCAATCGGAATACTGTTTCATTTTGTATTTGTAACAGTATTGAAATAAAACATATTCTTTACTGGAGATTTTTGAAAGGATTTCGAACTAATCGAATTTAGCTGTGTGAATAACAGCTTTTAATATACGGAATAAACAACGCGCAACAACTTATAATGGCCGTTTATAAGTACAAAAAGGCCTTTCGTGATGTTATTATGTTAAAGCTGGTTTTAATAGGTTACCTTGTCGGCTCCCGATGAAAAAACAATTTTAGTTTGACAAATGTACGCGATAAAAATGGATTATGCAGCCGCTTCCTTTTAAAGAAACTTATACGGTGTATTTTCTTCGATAACAATTAAGAGATTTCCATAATATTAAACGATGGCTATACCAGTGATGTAGTCGGAAAATATCATCTAATAAAACAATGTATAGAAAAATCACTAAAAAGTATTAAATAATCTTATCGTAGAAAGTATAATGAATATCGAAAGGTTGTTGAAGAGAATAGAGATAAATAAAAGCTAAATCAATTTGTGTATAGTAAATTTAATAATGAAACGCTAATGTTTTATTGTGATTTATTGTCCGGTGCGGCTCCGAGCGGATGAGAAACGAAATTTCTAATGTAGATCTGTCGGTTCGGATTTGGAGTAAGATTTTCGTGATATTTTTATTATTATTGTGGCGTGGAGAAATTTTTATGGTCGCCTCCAAAGCGCTCGCCGATTTCGAATAAAAAGCGATAAGACTACGCTTTTGATGCGCCAATAAAGCGTTTTAATTAACTCAATTTCTAGTTTATAAATTGATTAACGATGTTAAAGGACGAGGAATGTTGGTTTTATGATGTATAGGCATTTGCCGAAGGCTCATCGTTTAAGGTTTTTAGAACTGATTTTATTATTAACTATTAATACGAGCTGGCATTAATGTTTTCATTCCAGGTCGTAACCATTAATTTAATTCGATGAAATTAATAAAGTCTTTAAAGCGAGGCAAAAAAATATGGTAAAAATCGATGCGGGTAAAACGCGAGAGAACACGTGATGGAGCCGAAACGAGAAGGCCCATCGGTTGTATAATGATTTTGCAATTCCCTTTTATTTATGACACAATATCTCCATGGGATGCTCGACTTTTTAAATACCTGAGGCATAAATATTTTAACCGTCTATATGGGTGTAGAAAGTCGGGTCTAATAAAATAGAACTCGCTTTAAAACCTTTACAATTCCGAGTATTAGTCGCCTGAAGTAAATGCCTAAATAGCAAATATTTTTTGGTCATTCCAACTTCATATTTAATATCTATTATTCAGTGAGATTTATTCACTAACTATTCTCGTGAATTTTCACTTTGTCTGGAGAGGAATTCGAAAGGAAAACATCAAAGCATTTAACAAATATTTAATAGTCTAACAGCATATCAATAATTGATTGTGAATAGTAAAAGCAAATCATTGTAGATACATGTTCTGTACGTGTTGATATTTCCTATTTGTGTTAACTTTATCTTTCATTTTTTTCCGGATTTATCAAGTCATTCCTTTGCTTAAAGTCTGCTTTATCCAGATGCTCTTATTAAGTGCAATTAACTTCGATTAGCACCTACTATCTAAATTACAACCATCCAATGAAGTATTCTAATATCTAAAGTGTTTGTAATTATGAAACGGTCCTCGTAGAAGAACAAATATCGTTCGAAAACAATATAATTTTTTGATTACCTATACGGAGTCCCTGTGAAAAGCGATCATTGGCCTTTGGTAATCTATACGGCAGGTTGTTCAATAGACGCATATCGAAATAACCAATAGCTTAAGAATGCATTAGATGCATTAAAGCGACGTTGCCGATTCGCTCAATTTTTCCGGTCGATTAAAGAAACATCCAACACGCGAAACCTCGATTCGTAGAACGATTTTAATCGGTACGCGGCAACAGCGCCAGTATAAGGTTCCCAACTCTGAGAAACATTAAATTCGATAGGGCTTTCAGATAATTAAAGAGTAGACGGATAAGTAAGTGTTTAGTCCTAGTCCGCCTACGTGAAATTCTTCGTACACCAGCCGAATATCTCCGGTTCACTCAAGAAATGCAGTTAATATTCGAGAAATTTCACCTTCGGACTGTTACTACCGATCAATAATATTCCTCGATATCAACTTGACGTTACGGAATATTTTGATATTATACCGTGTTTTTCGATATTGGGAAATCTTCTTCTATCTAGATTATTCAGGCAGTTTTCTTTATGAACATTATTTAGGTAGAATTCTTGAACAATGTGTCTAAGTGTTACCTTTAGCAGTTGAGATGTTCTGCTATTGGTAATTCATAGAATAATATGTCCTTTTCTTCAAACTTTTCGATATTGGGAAATCTTCTTCTATCTAGATTATTCAGGCAGTTTTCTTTATGAACATTATTTAGGTAGAATTCTTGAACAATGTACCTAAGTGTTACCTTTAGCAGTTGAGATGTTCTGCTATTGGTAATTCATAGAATAATATGTCCTTTTCTTCAAACTTCCTCTTTATCATTGCTCATTCGAATGAAGTAGATTATTTATTTCAATTATCTGGTGAAATGGGGACCTTGGCTTGGAGTTTATTCGGTTTTCCAAACGACCCGGGCGATCCGCGGGACTCCCCTTTTCCGATGAACAAAAAATTCCTTATAAATAAATGAACGAGCAACGAAAGGTCGAAATGACGACGTCCGAAAAGGTCGAGGATTTCCGAGAAAAGAACCTCGTTTTCAATTATTTTTTACGGCGTATAACGCGATAAGCGTTGGGAGGCGCCACGAGTTGACACCGTTCGGTTAACTTGTTAAAATCACGCCTTATCTGCCTCCTAACATCGGCGTCGATAAATCGCCGGTACTGTGTGTGTGTTTTTTTTACTGTTTTATTTCAGTCTTTCGATTTTACGATTTTCCATTCGAGAAAAAATTGTTAGGGTGACGCGCCTAATGGGCTCCTGTTACGGAAGCCTTTTTCCGAATAGAGGTAGTTTTTTTTTTATGTCAGTTTCGGTGCTTCCGATTGTAATCGTATACAATATTGTTACTTCTAATTTCCAAGAGGAGTTGATTGGTTTGTGATCTACGAGGGGGAAATAGAAATTTAATCGAATTTATCGCATTCCTCTGTCGGGCTTCAACCAGTTAAAACATCTACTAATATACTCTCTTTAGCATTTTATTACGTTACATTTTCGCATTGGATCGTTAGTAGTACGAAATTAGCATAGGATTGTTGTAAAATACCTTTCGGTAGCGTTTTCTTCAATAATATAATTGCCGCAAAAACTATAATGCGCGGTTCTGTGATGAAGTCAAGCTAATTAATTATACGTATAAATAACCAATCAAAACGTAATTTATGCTCGTTTTAACTGTTAATACATGCCCAATCAAAATCTTTTCGAGATGTTATCGCGCTTTGAAGATATCTTTATCTTTACTAATATCTCCGGTAATATCTTATTCATCAATGACATATATTGCATTCGCGAATAAAACTAATAAGTACTTAACAGCTCGTTGTAATTACTGCTTATTTTTAAGGTTCATTGGTGACGATTCGTTTTTCCACAAAATGCGGTATGTCACACATCGATTGACAAATTTCCCCGAGATTTATTTATGAGCATCATAGGTGACAAAACATTTAAAAGCTTTATTAAATCATTCGAATTGCTGTTTAATTTGAACGTTAATTTTCGTCATCTCTATAATCCGCATTGGCGTCAACGCTTTTTTTTTATGAATCCTGATTTATATGGTGCGTAGACTCCGGTAATTTATTTATTTGCTTTGGAAATTACCTCTCGTTATCTAATCGAATTGTTTCCTAATAACAGCATTTCTCGAATAAGTCGCAATTACCTACACATGTCTCGAAACATATAACGGCTATCACAAGGGATGAATTTTCTTCTTGTAGGAAAAATGATGATTTGAATAGTGCGGTGACTTCGATGGAAATTTATCTGGATTTTCCTGGTTTACTAGCTAACCTTAGTGTTCGATTATGCGACCGAATGGCAATCGCACGTTGCAATCTTATTCTCGGGCTATATCTCACGTTGTACTTTGTAAGTAATTTGTTTACGATTGACGTAAATTAGTCTGAAGCGGAACGTCCAAACAAAACTCCAGATGCTTTTTTACTAGAAACATTTCGAAAGAGACATTGTTACTAAAATTCTGTTCTAATTAAGGATTTAATATAGTATATCTACGGCAAATAGTAAACAATGCTGTACGTTTTGCGACTGATGTAACAATAATTTCCATTTAAGCCTCCAGGGCTGCTGGAAGACAAGATAAGACGGTAGAATTTCCCTCTGAGAATCGTTCAATGACTACATCTAATTAACTGTTGTTTGTATCTAAGGTTTGAATAAGCTGAATATCGTCACTCCCTCGTATTTCATTGTAATTTAACATAATGCTTAATTACTGATTCGTCCGTGCTTTGCAGAATGCTTCCGTTATAAATATTTCAAATAAATATAAAAGCGAATTCCTTACAATTAGAAATTTATTTGTTGCCGATTTTATAGTATATGTATTACCAGAAACGTCAATAAATGTCATTGTAAATACAAGAAAACAATGGCATCCAATAAAAATGCACTATTAAAAAAAACCAGCTACGCGTTAGAGAGTGCAGTACTTAAAATAAAGCCAGTAGGTACTATAAAGATAATAAGAGGTACCGTTAAGAATTCTTTTTTTTTTTGTAAACTATACGGTGATATAACTATAATAAAATAATTGTCTATCGTATTTCCTCCAAAGGTGGCAACAATTCATTTGATACGCGTTATTACCCAAACACTACCTGTATAATAAAATGTTTCGTATTCATTCAAAGCCAATTTTAAAATAACAAACCGCTTAAAAGATTGTAATGCAAGTAGGAATATTAAACATTTCTCATGGTTGATTTGTCTAGTAGTGAATTGACGAGAGATGAATTGGCTAGAGGTGAATTGGCTAGAGGTGAATTGGCTAGAGGTGAATTGGCTAGAGGTGAATTGACGAGAGATGAATTGGCTAGAGGTGAATTGGCTAGAGGTGAATTGACGAGAGATGAATTGGCTAGAGGTGAATTGGCTAGAGGTGAATTGGCTAGAGGTGAATTGGCTAGAGGTGAATTGGCTAGAGGTGAATTGACTAGAGGTGAATTGGCTAGAGGTGAATTGACGAGAGATGAATTGGCTAGAGGTGAATTGACGAGAGATGAATTGGCTAGAGGTGAATTGACGAGAGATGAATTGGCTAGAGGTGAATTGGCTAGAGGTGAATTGACGAGAGATGAATTGGCTAGAGGTGAATTGGCTAGAGGTGAATTGACTAGAGGTGAATTGGCTAGAGATGAATTGGCTAGTACGTGAAAGTGCGAATAATGAATTATCCAGGAGTGAATATTCCATGTAAAGAATTATTATCCTGTATACAAGAAACTTTTAAAACGATTTTTAATCGTATACTTATTCCTTCCACCTTGACGCAACGGATAACCTGTCTGTCCTATTTAAGCAGCCAGTACACTGAACTTCTATAAGTGCATGTGTAAACATCGAGGAAAAAAACGATGTTTGACTAAATAAATAGTGCACCGGGTACTTCGGTAAATACACATAAATATCATTGAAACTTTTGTGAGTTTTATCTGACTAGTCGGGAGAGAGTGGGGCCTGTAATAAATCTGTAGTTAGCGTTCTTTTGCTTAGCTAATTATTAATTAGGCAAAAGGCAATCCGGAATAGTTTGTTTGACAGAATCCTTTGAATAAATTAAAATCCAGCGCTGCACGGGGATTCGATTGTCAGCACGTTTACACCGAATACAGGTAGAAAACGCCGAGGCGTAACATTTTATTTTCACGTTTCCACCCCTTTCGAGTAGCTGCGCCCCCCGCAACCGCTGGAATTTGTGTTATATGATAAATTATGCTAACAGGAATATTGCCCCGTGCATTATTTACAATTATTCTCCTATTCACAAAAGCGGCGGCGGACTTTTTGTGTACGCATTGTTCCAAAGACAATCTTTTTTTCTTTCAGAGAAAATGAAGGGTTGGGTCGAACTTTCGAAAATATCGTTGAGTAATGGCTTTGTTACGGATGATTTATTAAGATATTTTCATATATGAATATTTATACGCGTGAAATTAACAGCAAATAGGTTGATTGTTTGGGCGAAATTGCACAAACTTATTCTGACCTAGTTGATTAACTTATTGGTAAATTTTAGTGTATTAAGTATAAAAAAAAGTGACTCTGCCAATGGTGTAGGGTCGAGGAAAAAACGAGAAAACAAATAAGTGAATATAGGTTCTCGCAAAGGTTGCGTTTTGAAGACGACCCGCGGTGCCTAAAATGTAAATCATGCACGGGATACCCCACGACTCGCTCTCATACCTCATACCTTATGGATTTTATTATTTACCGGCGATTTTTGGCATAGCGGCGCCTTTGTGATAATGAACAACACTTACGAAACTACATTAATATTCAAGCCTCCAGAAACCATTTACTGCTTTGTCTACATTCATCATAATATGTATTTTGGATGTTATTAATTATTAGTTCTGTCGACGTATTTATATTTTCATCATTTCCCTTCGAATTTATGGTCAATAATGATATCAAATATATTTTCGTGATGGGGTTTTATTGTGTGTTAATTGAATTTCGGAAAAAAAGAATGCAACACCATTTCGAACCGGTCGTTTATTCGACCGAAACTCATGAATTTTTATTAAAATCGTTATCCTCAACATCAATTTACGAAGCATTGTATCTAACCTCTATGCAGAAATCATCCAAATGATCAATCAATATAAAAATTTTGTTAATGACCCTGAATAGCTCAAAAGATAATAACGAATTGTGTGTTGATATGGGGATTCAAACGTTACACTTGATTCTACTAATATTACAGCAATCAAAATTATATACCTCATAAACCAAGTCTACCGATGTTAAGCTTCTTCGATGGCGCGTTTAATTGGATAGACCGAAGACATCGATGAAATCATCGAAGTTATCGTTAATTACGTTATCATCGCATCGTCCATTAAACGCGAGATTATTCAAATTAAAATTTTCGAATCTATTAGAAGCGATCCTATGGGTAGGTGCTGAACAATTGTCGACACTATTGCGGCCTCCCAAGATCCATCGTCAATCGATTGTCCGATACCTCGTTTGATATTCACTTTGATATTGTTGATATCTCGACGGGATTCCGAGTTACTTGTCGGTAACTCGACGCATTTATTACCGGGCTCGAGCAGCGGTTTACCGTTATAAATGATATCTATTTTCTTCATCTCGGAGTTTGTTGGTGTCCGAATTAACAGAAAAATTGGCATCTCATAGCTGGAAAGAGGAGAATTGGGTTTATTTCGGTTGGTAATTAAACGCGCATTCCGGCGAATAAATTGGAAAGGTTTCTTTGAAAGATCCTACCGAATTAATCGAGGATATTAGCGGAGCTGTGGGGCCTGGGAGGCACCACACCGGGCGTGGGCAGTTGAAAAGGTACAACATGTGCTCATCTTCGATTGTACGCCGGACAAGGGAGAAGAGAAAGAGAGACCAGTCTTTCCAAATACGGTGTACCGACTCAGCGCCAGGGCTCTCCTATTGCAACAACATTAAATTATATTTATTACCTTTGGGAAAAAAAAAGTCCGAATGACAGAATATGCGAAATACAAGTCGCGGGGACGGTCGAAAACGCAAAAATGCGCGCTTTAAATTTTTCGAATTGATGCATTTATCGTATCTTATTGTCGTGGACTCGACTTTATTAACCAATTTACGAGTATGAATAAATTTTTGAATTTTTGATCGCTCTTCTTTCGACAACGTTTTCAGTTGGTAATCTCGTTTTCTACAATCAGTTAACTCTCATTCCAGTTTTCTAGTAGATTCATTTGCGAAATCGATTGCTCTGTCGCGGATATATCGCTCGGATTTATCTGTTATAATTTCTCGTAATATCCTCTTCGAAAATACGACCGGAGCAGTTAGTAGTTTAGTTGTAGAACCGATAGAAAACGTCGAATTAAAATTCTTCGAAACGCATAGGTTATATGCTCGTACGATTATTTACGATTACGTCAGTGCGTTTTGAAATATTGAATTTGATCTTATCTTTTAATCGTCCGTCGTAGCCGAAGAAGAAGAAGAAACCATCGAAGACGTTGATATACGAAAATGGGCTGAATAAAAAACGCGGTGGAAGGTGGAAGTTGAGATTATCAAAAAAAATGGATAATAAAATCCAGCCGCAAATCGAGTTTATGAAAAGTTCCGAGATAATTCATGAAATTTATAGAAGGGATCTTAATATTACATAAGACAGGACTGGAAGTTTTCTTAATCTTCCAATTACTGGTTCGTTAGATATTAAATGAGTGAAGCTTTAATTTAGAATTGGAATTCAACAGTAAAATTTCCTTTTCTTCCTTATCCTTTTAAATTCTTTCCACTAATCTCATCATTATCATCAATATAATTTTCTTCATCTTCCAATTACTGATTCGTTAGATATTAAATGAGTGAAACTTTAATTTAGAATTGGAATTCAGCAGTAAAATTTCCTTTTCTTCCTTGTCCATTTAAATTCTTTCCACTATTCTCTTCATTATCATCATCAATATAATTAATTTTAATCGTGAAAGGGTTCGATCCAATGTTAAACTAATAAAACAAAGTGTAAGTGAAAATGTATGGGAAAAACTTTCAATTTTATTTAAAGGAGTGCTTATATTATAATGCGTAATTCATCAGGAATTATCTCGAGCTCGCATTTTGTATTTAAACGACGGCGATGTCCGGAGGTTTCCAACTGCCATTTTATAGTAATTTAATAACTTGTTGCTTGATTAAAAGTGATTAAAAGCTATTACGCGATATCAGTATGTAAAGCTTTAAGTAAATACCAATTAATTTATGGACGTTTAAGATTGTTTCTCGAGAATTAATCATCGTGCCGTTTTTTTTTCCTGTTCCAAAGGTATATCGTTTAGAGATAATAAACGTCATGAAAATAGACTGTAATATATTGCTAACGTTGATGCGAGTGAATGTTTCAGATTTTCAGTTTTTTCTATTTCAAGGAGCCGTTGCATACATGCATGAATTTTTGTTTAATTATTTTTTCTCGTCATTTATTACACTTTTATATTAAACTATGTTAATTGGTCGTCTGCCTTATATAGTAAAAAATATTTTAATTATATAAACGAGGTTGAAAATTATTGCAGCCATCTGATGTAGGTCTCTTTATAGTTGAGACTATAAAGAACACTTTTTTTTTATTAATTTCGCAATTTAGATTCAAGTTTCTCATTTATTTATATTATTACGAATAGCGGATACTCGCACTAAAAATTTTGTCATTGGACACGATCTTATCGTCTCCGCTACTGATTTATCGCTCCCCCGGCTTTTAAAAATTCCTACGTTACTATTAATTTATGTTATCAGCGGGGGCATCGAGCAGAGAGCTAGCCAGCTCGGAAAATAAAGTAAAGCAATTTAGTTAACAAGCTGGCAAAATCTACCTTTTGTGTGGTAGTGTCGCCGCATAATTCGACCGTTCGGACCGAAGAAGGGTGGCTTTTAAACATAATTAATAGCCACTTAACTCTGCGACTTTGTTCCGGCGCCTTTGAGACCTACGGGGCACGTCGGAAAAGTCCCACTTTGCTAATTTTACCGGCGCACCTTTCGATAATTATAATTACCCTGCGAATTGCAAGAATATTAAGGAAATTCTTGGTTATTGTGATGGCGTTCTGGCAACGTCGGTGGAGCTATTTGGGCGATATACAGGAGATCAAATATCGCTTGAGTTGTTCCGGGGTATGTGGTCAAGCGACGGTTATCCTCATTTTGAATTCAGGTCATCGCGTTTCATTAGGCGGGTATCCTTAAACAACACCGAAAAGAAGTAACACCTACATCGTGTATTTTAAGAACCTCGAATCGACCGGATTTTTTTTATCTACCTCAGCTTTAAAGCTGAATTATGCACCCTCCGATTGATTCGATGGGTTTTTTGTATTTAGCACCGAAAATATTAACTAGAGCGACTTGGATTTTGTTACTATGCTTTGTTTTGGTTCAGAGGTAGTTAAATGTTTCCATTTCTCGTGGAATTGCGAGCGAAATCGTTCCGAATTGAATCGAAAAAAATGTACTGTTTTACTCCTTCAGAAGCGAAAGAGCTTCGGAATCGTCGAAGAAACAATTACGGCCTCTCGCGCGGCTTCCAAACGGAATATTATGACCCCCAGGTAGGTACCTACGACTCTCGGTCTCCCTAATTTATTGTTTTTCATTTAATTCAAGGCCTACTCATTTATTCAACAAATAAGAAGGTCATAAATTTCACAAAAATAAATGCTCCGGAGTCCGCACAAAAGCCGCTTCTTCTTCTTCTTCTTCGCCTTCTTATACTGGACGTCCCCAAAACTATACGCATCGCTCGAGTTTGATTTGCATATTAATTGTCGAAAAATACCAAAAAGAAGATAATTATTTTGGGTGTATTAGATCGATTATATACAGAACGTACACAGGATTTTTTGTTTATGAAGCAGATAATCTCGAAATATTTGTAATCTAAATTGACACCTATTTTTCATTAGTAATTTAGTTCTCTTTTTGTGACAATCTGTATGAGAGCCTAATTATTATCGTCGGTAGAAATGGAAGGTGGTCCATTGTCGAAATAGATTTTACGTTTCATTTTAAAAGGTTAAACCTTTCTGGCCGAAGGCACTTTTTATGATCCTCTTTTTTTTTCACAACATAGTAAACTCTTTCGACCCAAAAGCGCGGCGTTTCTCCCGATTCTCTCGAAGCCAGCAGAAGAAAACCGATCACCCTCAATCGAATTCCTGCTCACCTGTTGCGCTTATTCCGCCGTAATTCCTGCGACCGCTCGCTCTGGCAACGCCGCCTCCCGACAGCGGCTGCTTGATGGATGGCCCACGAAGAACGACAATCGTCAAGTCTGTCAAGAAGTGTGGTCTTGGCTTATAACCTTCCAGCGCTCTATTGTTCCGAACCTCTATCGAGCTGTAAATAATGCAGCGTTAAATTGATGCACGTCAGCTCGTTATCATTTTTACGAAGAGATGGATGCGTTTCGGCGGAAAGTGATTCTGTTCAGTATTAAACTCGATTGTATTAGAAGATTTTAGCATGTGAATTTGATGGTTTTTTTGGAATGTTTGTCTACGTTATTAGTGGATTTGTCTCATGAATTGTCTTCCCAATGGTTGTAATTTGTTCTGAAAGTGTTCTAAATGATTTTGGAGTACACTAGTTTAGCCTAGACCGTTTTAAATAGACCTGTATCGGTTCTAAACGATTTTGGACTTCTAAATGGTTCTAAGATCTTCCTGAACTGTTTCAAAGGTTCTAGTCAGTTCTAAATTGGTTTAAAAAAAACTCCATGCAGTTTTAAATGGTCCTAAGATCGTCCTGAATTGTTTCAAAGATCTTAGTCAGTTCTAAATTGGTTCTAAATGACTCCATACAGTTTTAAATGGTTCTAAGATCGTCCTGAATTGTTTCAAAGGTCTTAATAAGTTCTACATTGTTTCTAAACGAGTTCGTATAGCTCTAAATGGTTCTAAGATCTTCCTGAACTGTTTCAAAGGGCCTAGTCAGTTCTAAGTTGGTTCTAAATGGTTCTAATATCGTCCTGAATTGTTTCAGAGATTCTAATCAGTTCTAAATTGGTTTTAAATGAATAAATATACATAATTCTAAATGGCTCTAAGACCGTCCTCAACTGATTCAAAGGACCTAGTCAGTTCTAAATTGGTTCTAAATGATTCCATACAAATCTAAATGGTTCTAAGATCGTCCTGAACTATTTCAATGGACCTAATCAGTTCTAAATTGGTTCTAAATGACTCCATATGGACCTAAATGGTTCTAAAATGGTCCTGAACTGTTTCAATGGACCTAATCAGTTCTAAATTGGTTCTAAATAACTCTATACGGATCTAAATGGTTCTAAGATCATCCTGAACTGTTTCAATGGGCCTAATCAGTTCTAACATGGTTCTAAACAATTCTGTATTTGAAAAGTGGATAAAAGATAGCAAAGACATTGATAACTAACATTTGTAAAGGCAAGAATCGTATCGATTCGTCGGAGTTGCTCGTGCAACGTCCAAGTCGAGAACCATAAATAAACCAATTTCTAATTTACAGTAATTGAAAGCGACCGAACGGGCTTACGCCCGAAGAACATAATAAATTCAACTGTCGATTACGTTGGGATCCAGTCAAATCGACGATCCATCATTGACGACCGAAATAGGTAGTGACGACCGCGGGTAATTTTTCAAACGGGGAATAACGTTCTCTGTCGGAAGATTATTCGAATTTTCTTTACGCGGTAATTAGGCGTAAGACCACCAAAGATTTTGGCTCCGAGTAGATGAGTGAAAGCTCGTAATTGTAAATCTTGGTTTATGGGTAAATGGGAGTAGGTTTGACAACAGGGCGCGATGCGAGGCGCCGGCGGTCGGGCGAAGTGTGGGTGATGAAGAGCGCCGAGGAGATGCTGAGATGCTGAGGAGATGACAACGAAGACTACGATTTTGAGTGAGAAGTGTAGAAGGTTGAGCGGAGATTGTCTGTTTCGAGCGCCCACTTATCGGTGGCGCCTATCGGCGCGTCTCCTGCGATTCCTAGACTGCAATAAACTTATTATTTTTTCTTTATTTATTGTTTGTTTTATCGGGTTTTTTTTTTCGCAATGGCGAAGGTGCGGTTAAAAATTTATGGCTTTTATATTTGTATGGCATATTGTAACCGTTTCTGCTTCGTAAGAGGGGATTTCCTGCGACGCCAAATAAACTTTATTGACAATTAATGTCCTTTTTTTTACCATATACCTGGATAATCTGCCACTTTTTGCAATAGCTTTATTATTAAACTCCATTTAGCAACGCCTTTTTATTTGGAAAATTTATTCAAACATCGATAATTATTTTAAAAACAATGACCACATCCTACTGTTACTATTATAGTGCAATATAAAGGTAACACCGCAAATTAATTATTGTTTTCTGTTATAAAAACCTTCGTTAAAAATGTTCGCACGGGATATAGGAAAGTACAACCGATGAGTAAAAATTCCTCATTGAATAAATTATCATAAAAACTTGTGTTTATTTTAATATTAATAATAATCTTTCTATATCAGATACCGAGCTCAAGGGTTTCCATTTGAGCCCTCAATCGTTCGTTTTGGCCATGAAGCAGATTGAAGTAGAGCAAGTCGAGGTGAGTACCTAATTCAAATATATTCTCATCACTTAATTTAAAATTCGGAAATATTTATAATCGTTGGTTACAAAACCATTTGGTTATAAAAAAAAATGTGATTACGAGCGTCAGTATTTTATTCTTGTTCTGTGTAGAAGTTGGAGGGCGAGAGAAACAATTAGAGTACAGAAAAAATAAAGTTTATTTTTAATAAAAAAACGAAAAGCATATTATCTTAAATAACTCGGTAATAAAGAAATACTTTCTCAAATTGTAACATTTAAACATACTTTCTCTTGACTAGTAGAAGCTTAACATTTAAATTCTAAAAAACGTAAAATGGTCTCATACTGTACATGTTATAATTTTAATATCTAACCTCTCTTAAGTGAAAAAAAAATCACATAGCAAGTACTTACTTACATATTAGCAAATAAACTTTCTTTAATGGTTATACAAATTATTCCAAGATTAAAGTTTTCAAAATGTCCTCAAAAAAAATTAAGTGTATTTAAAAAAGGTAATAAGAATGAGATCCACAGGGAAACGGCGAAAATTTTGGAAAAATTCGTATAATCTTATAAATATCAACAATATCTACAAATATAAACAAAACATAAAAAAGTGCAAGATTTATAAAAAAAATGTAACAATTTTATCGATACGAAATCGCAAAAGGTGAATGTTTCTTTTTTCGGATATTTCTTTTCGTCATGATAATTTTTTTTTTATTTTCTTACAAATTCTAAATCTGATAATAGATAATTATGATCAAAGAACTTCCTTTTATCATTTGTCAAGTCGATAAATCTTCAATTCCGAAACATTAATTTCTTATTTTTCAATAAGTATATTTCAACAGAATGAATAAGATTTACCTACAGTTTACCTTTAATAGGTAGTTTATATCGCTTACTAATTAAAACATACTACCATTAGCGAAACAATTAAAAATTCTTATATTTAAAATGCATAACTTAAGTACAAGTAGCTCGGATTTTGCCCCGCACTCTGCACAAAAACCTTTATTTAATTAAATAATCTATTATCACAGTTTCCTTGCTTAAGTATGTACTTTTGCTGATAGATAAAATGATCAATACAGGAAAATCGATTATAAATTTTCCTATTTTGATTAGATGAGACCATTAACCATTAACAACGCGTGATATTAATCTAAGTTTCTCGTGAACCAAACTATGAAACATTTTCAACCGATTATCAAATAAAATAATTCTTTCAAGGCACGATCGTACAAATCATCATCATCGAACACAATTTTAGCCAATCTAAAAAAAACCAAAAAAAAACGAAAACATTTTCTATCACATCATCACAGCAGCGGAATTGTCCGAGCACGAAACATTCACATTCGACGATCCCCCGATATTTCCCAAGTTGTACAATCAAACAACCGCAAAACAATACTTTTAGATACTTAAGTAGCAGGAAAAAAACATTTAAAAATCGCATCTCTTCGACTAATCGGAGCGCCTTCGTCATAGATTTATCGTATCCAAGTCCTGGATCGGCGCTCTTCCAGCTCCACCGCTACTGCTACCTGCAAAATGCACCAATAAAATTTCAACCAAACATTCATCACAACAAAACGGAGTACAATTAAAAATTTTTCCTCTATTCATCACTACATCTTTTCCAGTTGTATTTCAGAAAGCGTCTATTAAATTTAGGATTATTCACTTATATTCACTTGGTTATATTTCAGAAAGTATCTGTTGTATTTCAGAATAGTCAATTGTATTTAAGAAATTATCGTTCTTATTTCGGAAAGTGTCGAAAGGATTTCAGAGTCCCATTTGGAATGCAAAAATCATATGACAATATTATTACAATTATTAACGAAGAAGAAAAATTCTAGCTTATCGATTCTACCCTTCATTGCCCTCTTCTACTCTCATCTACCCCTATCTTCAACCTCTCACTACCTTCTCCTACCCTCACTACCCTTTCTACCTCCTCCTACACTACATACTCTCTACTACACTAACGAGACATCGATAGAGCAATGAGCTTGGTCTCGTTTTCTTGTAATGCAAAATAATAAAAAAACCCTAGCAATTTCAAATCGAATCAATACCGTCTGAAGCGGCGGCGCCGCCGCCGGCGCTACTCGTAGCCGCCTTGTTGTGCTGATGATGATGATGATGATGGTTGTCGTTGCCGCCTGTCATGGTCAATTTGTTCATGATGCTCGGTATGCTGAATTCGGGATTGGGCAACTTGCGCATGATCTTCCCGGAGGTGATGAGCCTGCCGAAGCCCTCTTGATGGGCGAACGCGTAACCGGATCGGATCGAACGGCGCACGCGCCGCGCCGACGGCGTCCTCAGCACGTCCAGGCTGTGCCTGGTGCGCATCTGCAACAACAAAAAAAATAGCGTTCGGTTTTATTATCGATTATTTTAGGGATTAATTCGTTCGAAAATTAGCGCGAGTAGGTTTTTTTGCAAGTAGAATACACGCTTACGTGCGTATACGCGCTAACTTCCTCTTCCGAGCAATCAAAATCGTATCGAATTTCGTCTTCGTTAAACATAAAGAACATGCCGAATAGGAGATTTCGTATTATTGCTCGTATCCATCCGTAATCACCCGATTTCTACAAACAAATATCATTGCGTTTTAACTCCGACTCTTCGCCTCAAATCGCACCAAACCCTTCGAGCTCTATCATTAAAGCAAATCGTTCACCAAAAAGGGTATTATTCTATTGTATTTGTTAAGGGATAGGGTAATGAAAACCGAAGTGACCTTCCTTACCCTACCCTACCGGTATTATCGCAGTTACCCAGTACCCTACCCGGTAAACTTAACTTTAGCGGTTTATATCTGAAAAAATATGCATTTTGTTTACCTGCGCCATTCTTTGCTTGAGTCGCACCCTGTCAGATAACGTGGGTCGGACGTCGACGAAGTAGAATCTCCACGCCAACACCGGCATGATGGATATAATGACGACCAGGACGGTGGTAAACCAAAAATTCGCCTCGGACATCGCCTTGATCAGCGATCCGACGTACGGCCCGTGGCAGATGTAATTGTAGAAATTATCGGCGACGAAGTAGAAGGCCAGAGAGCCCCAGATCATTATGTGATTGAACACCGTCCAATACATCGTGTCCAAAGCGATCTGAAGCGTTGAAAAAAAAAACGAGTTACGGTGCGAAATTCGAATAATTCGCGAAGTAAATTTACCTGTGCTGTATTAACGATAACGAGTATGGCGGCTGTTACGCTGCAAAATAACATGTAGTCGGACAAACCGTGTCCGTTTGGACCGACGGCGTCGTAATAAGTACCTGGAATACGAAAGGAATGTTAATGACACGATCGAATGAAATTCGAGAAACGTTAAATTACCGAACGGAATGAAAAAGAGCACCATCGAAACGAAACAACCTTGTAAGGCGCTTCGGAAAAACTCCTTTTTGTTAAAGAAGAGATTCAAATGACCGGGCGTATACAATTTGGGAAACAGCACGCTGTTTTTGTCGTTGACGTCTTGATCGAAGATGCCGACTCCTAGGACGGGCAACGACGTGTAAAACAAGTTGTAAATTGATATATACATAGGATCGAATACGGTCTGTAAAGAATTTTATTTGTAATCGACGAAGATGAATTTATTAAAATGAGCATTACCTGAGCGCTGAAACCGCAGAAAAAGGCGTACCAAAAGTGACACAACGTAAAGGCGAAGTTCTTGTTGAAGAAATACCTGAGAAAACTGCACATCCTGTAGTAAGACCATCGACCGTGCACCAACAGCAACCTTTCCAAAAACCTAAACTGCGCAATGGAATAATCGGACGCCAACACCGCTTGCATCCCTTCCTGACCGGATATCCCCACACCAATATGCGCAGCTAAAAATCCAAAAAACAACACATTAAAAAACAAAACAACGCACCTTTCCTAAAACATCCAAATACCTTTGATCATCGACACATCGTTGGCACCGTCGCCGATCGCCAACGTCACCGCCTGCTTGTTCTTCTTCACCAATTCGACCACCAGCGCCTTCTGCAGCGGCGTCACCCGGCAACAGATCACCGATTTACATTGCATCACCACCTCCAGAAACAACCGCTCCATCTGCGGATGCAGACAGTGCACCAGCGAGTTCCCGTTCACCACGATCGCGAAGCCGCCGGGCGTCTCCTCGTGCGGCGCCGCCTCGCCCACGTCGTCGTGATAACCCAACTCCGCGCTGAAAATTAAGCGAATTTTAATTTTCGCAATAGCGCTCGTTTGGGGCGATGGTCTCGCTCGCCGCGCGAGCTCGACCGTAGGCCCCTCGGAGGATCGGGCGAGTTCCAGTAGAAGAGCCAGTTGGACTCTCTAGATGAATCATGATAGTGAGCCAAAGGGACTCCAATAGAAAGTCTCAAACGTAGTAGAGTAAGGATCGTCAGTAGTGTTAATAATATTATCTGCTATGTTTAGTTATTCTCTTTGAAGCAATGTTGGAATGTAAACCTATACCCGCTGGAATAAAAGTAACAATGGCTAGGAATGCCAACGCTGACGGCTCGTTTTGGCCGAAGGTCTCGCTCGCTGCGCGAGCTCTCGGCTTCGTAACGGTGCAGAGCACCATCTAAATAACAAAGAGCGGGGTTTTTTACCTGAACGTGACGACGCTGACGGCGGGCGGGCTCATCGAGTGCGTCGATTGGACGTTGGCGCCGGATCCGTTGCCGATTTCGACGCGACCGTTCGACGTGGAATTGTGGTCGTTCGGAGTGCGCGGTCTCGGATGGAACGTGTGGACGATTTTGATGTTGTCGCGAAACTTCAACAGCTGCTGTTGCACCTCGTCGAAGCCCGAAGCGTCGACGATGAATAGATCGACCAGTTCGTCGGTGAGCAGTTGACACGAGTAGCCGATGTTGATGGCGGTTTCTGGTAAATCGAACGCGTCACTTACTCGATCTTATACTTCATCCGTCTAACCAACAAACAAGGTTAGACGCTTGATCATCAAGCACATTTGCGTCTATTGGGTACAATAAAAAAGCCTCTTTACGCTGACCAATCACTGGTGATCACGCGTTGATCCGGCGTCTAATCTTGTTTTAGTTACTCCGTTGTTTGAATGGATGAAGTATAATAATTCTCGCTCGTTCTAATTACCTTGTTTGTCGCCGGTGAGGACCCATATTTTGATATTGGCCAATATCAGATTGGCTATAGTTTGTGGTACGCCGTCTTGTAGTTTATCTTCGATCGCCGTCACTCCTATGAGTTCTAAATCCTTTTCGATTTCCTCGTAGAGCGCGTCGAGTTTCTCGTCTCTATCCTCCATAGATACGGCGGCTTCTTGATGCCTCTGCTTCCAGTTATTGAAATACACTTCGTCCAAATCGCAAGAGGCCAGCACTAACGTTCTCAAACCTTCGCCGGCGAATTTCTAATACACAAAAAAATCGAAATATACACAATCCAAAACTCCAACACTTACGTTAAGATGCTCTTGCGTCTTGTGCTTGACGTCGTCCTGGCCGCGTTTCAGTCGCTCGTAGATGACGTTGTCGGCGCCTTTGCAATACAACTTCAACTTCCCGTCCCTGCGCAATATCACCGACATCCGCTTTCGCACGTTGTTGAAGTCGAGTATGCACAGCACCTCGTACACCTCCTTCACGCCCATCACCTCGACGGTGATGCTGTTGGGCGAGCGCTCTTTGAACACGAAACCGAAGTTCCTCGCGGCCGATACCAGAGCCGCCTCGTCCGGCGATTGCGCCTGTCAATTCACAATCCATTTGATCGGATTCGAATAGGATATTTCGACGTGTATCTTACTTGGTATTCGAGCTTGCCGTCGGCCTGTTCGGACATGACGGTGTGGCAGAGCGCCAGCAATCTGAAGAAGCTGTAGACGCTCGTGTCTCGTCGGCGGACGGCGTCGAGTAGATTGCGATCGTAGAATTTGAATTCAGGTTCGTAGTTCGGATTGAACGAGAAATCCAACGATTCGGTGTCGTCGGTGATCTCCATCACGTCGCCGGTTCTCTGATCGATCACGTCGCCGTAGGATTGACCGGCGATCGAGCATTTGTTGAACGTCATTATGTTTTGCGTTAGAGTACCGGTTTTGTCCGAAAACACGTACTCTATTTGGCCTGCGAATATATAAATCACCAATACTATACTGCTTCACAAGAGTTAAGGAAGTTCACAAATATTGCGATTGGTGATGTGCTATAGTGTTTACCTAATTCTTCGTTTAGTGTGGTTGTCCTGGCTTTGGCGTGCGTGCCCGTTTTATCATAGTACATCTGTTCGTCCCAATTGATCAGGAAGCTCTGAACGAATCTGATCACTTCGACCGAAACGTACAGCGATATGGGCACCACCGTGTTCAGGACGATGGCGTAGGAGAAGAACACCAACAGGGCTATGATGGTGGCGCCGCCCAGCGGCTCAGAAGGCACCAGGCTGTCCCACGGGAGGTACGTTTGGAAGTACTGGCCGACTAGCGACTCCCATATACCGCAGGCGATCATACAGAAAAGGCACATGGACAATAAAAAAAATACTATCTGCAATTCGGAGAGGAGAAAATGATATATATAACGAAATGATTCACAGTAAAAGAAGTATCCATTTTCGTTAGATTATTTGGTAATTTTTAGTAATTTCCGCGCAGTTCAAAATGTCCCTAGGGTCAATGTTAATACTCCCATTTGAGTTGGGGAATTTTACGACGTGCGGTTGAACTTCCGAAGCGATGTTGTCTTGCGTTAGTCTTAAAATTTCTCTTTTTTATGTTGACAGGTTGTGTTTACAATTTGTTGTTTTTGCTAATTTTTATGCGATTTTTCTTGCAATTCATGCAAGTTTACGAGTAGGTTTTGTGTTTTCCATTCGTTTTAGTGAGTTTTTTGTGCGGTTTTCGGTTTATTTTTCGACCTATTTTGATAGAGAACGGTGGAGGGGAAGAATACTATTGGAATAATTGACCTAATCGTAAAAAAATCACATAATGTTCTGTTAAATCAATGCTCGCAAGCTCACATCTCCTCCTGATCTACTTTTTCATGTTTAAATTCTACTATTTAAGACTTTTTTTTAATTTGCAAACAATGAAAGTAAACACAATCTTAAATTAAATATATCTGTCACATCAAGGACATCAATTACAACCCGGCAACGTTGCAACAGGCCGGCTCGAAATCCACTAATCTAACGAAAACGGACAGTACAGCCTTTATAGGTATACTTACACCTATGATTAAAAAATTAAGGAGCCTGTCGATGCTGGTGCGTTTGAATTTGCTCTTGCCGCTGTTCTGCATCAACTTGGTATCCTTGCCGGCGAATATGACGACGCCGTAGCACCATTGGGTGTTCCTGAGGACGCAGCCTCTCAGCATGATGTTGTCGTTGTCGAGCGAATACGATTTGCCCTTCCACACGAGCACGCCCTCGAATTTGTTCAACAGATTGTTGGGCATCTCGCAGATGATTTCGCCGTCGAATTCGCCGAGCGAGCCGTCGTCCTGGCCCATTTCGGCCGTTTCCACTAAGCATTGGCGAATTTTTAGATTCGTCTCGCTGGAAAATTAGTTATTTTCTTATTAAATATGATTCTAAGAGGATGATTGTTGTAAGGACGTACCCGTCTAATTCGGACGTTTCAATGTAACACAGACCGTTCGGTTCGCTAGAGGTTAGAATTAACACATCGGCCGCTATAAATTGATTATTGTCCATTCTGATGATGTCTCCAACTTGGACTGCCGACCATTTTTCTTTGACCAATTGGCCTTTTCGGACCACCCGCGATTTTCTGTTGTTGACGTGCGAATCCGATATATGACGTTGCTACAAAATATGGAATTCTTGAAGAATATGGAGCGTTTTATCGTTGTATTAACAGCGTAATTCCTCATTTTCAATTTCAATGCATTTGCATGTAAGCGCGTAAACAAGGTTTTTTTTGTAAATGCAAGTTTATGAAAGTCAATGTGTTTTTTTTTTTACTTCAAACTGATTAAAAGTCGCTATTTTCGTTTCGAGACTTAATAAAATTCCCATTGTAGCCGTACAACAATAAAACAAGGCCATTGAAAAATTTGCTTTGTTTGTCAGGAGATGATATAATAACCATTATTTTTTTTTCTCAAGGCTGAAGTTTGTACACAACTAAAATTCGTCAAGATTTTTTAGATAGAACCGGAATTAATCAATCGGTATCTACTCATTGCGAATAAAAGAGTGGTATTTTCGTTAATAATTAGAACTTCACGTCTAATTTCATGCATGCTTCCTAAATGATTTAAATAAATCCAAACATAATATGCAAAATCGTATTTTCGTTTTATTAATTGCGCCGAAACTGAGCAACGAAAATAAAAAAAAACCAAATCGAAATTCCTAGTCACTATAAGTAAACGAATCGACATTTCGAAACCCGGAAAAGTTCCTTCCTGATGAAAAACCGAATTCCATAACCGAATAAAGTTATTTCTCGGAAATTACTCCAACGAATTTTTTGAAATTCTCCCAAAACATTCTTCAATTCATGACTAATAACTTGCCGCAAATCGCATTCGATCGAAAATTGTATCTTCCAAGTTATAGAAAAAACAACACGCCCGATCCGAAAATCGACGTTTCTACTTTAAAAACTTCCATCTTCAGACATTTTCGCGCCCTTTAACGTGATAAAAATATACTAACGATATCATCGTATGCGTCCTTGACGGCAGTGAGTCCGAGTACACCGATGAGAGGTAACGCTGTGGTGACGGGAGTGAGACTGCTGATAGCTGGTATCAGCTGCAACACCAAAAGGCACAAAAAGTAGAAGTTCGCCAGGCGCTGGAACTGCTCGAACAGGTTCAACGGCAGGAACGTCAGCAGGGAGTACTTCGAGGTTTTTATGTAATTACTCTGAAAAATAAACATCAATTTGTTATCATAAACAGAGCTGGATAATAGTAAATGAAGCTCTTATTTCATTGAAGATACGAGGAAACGTTCAAGATTTGCGCCCATAAACTGCGATATTAATTTCGGGCACACTTGAATTGGGTTAACCGCTAAAAAACCTTCAATCTAATTTACTTGCTACGCCGATAAATATTCGATCCTGCGTCCTTTAAGATAAAAAAAATTACATCACGAGAAAAAATATGATTGACACGAGCTAGTAAATTAGCATGTTATAATTAACTTTAAATTATTTCAACGTCTTTTACTTGCATGATTAACAAAGAGGTATAGTTGGAGCGCATATTTAAATGTTTTCGTTATCGATAGTAATTTATACGAATCGATAAAAAATTTGGATAAATACTTTTCGATGCGGAATCGGAAGGTGTTAGTGCATTAATTTTTTTTTCGACGAACGCTCGGCGATCTAAAAATAAATGCGAAAAATTCGCGATATAAAACGAAAACAAATTCCTGCAGTTTGTGTGTGTTTTTGGTGGAAAAAATTTCAACAAAACGCCCTAAAAATAAAGTTATGACGGAAAGTATCAGGCGAAATTCGATCAATTTCTGTTTGTAAAAGAGCAAATGCTGGTTAAAAACAATTAAATTGAACATCGTAAATTTCGAATCCCTTCTATTATTAGAAATTCGACAGAGCGGAAAATAGGAGGATAACAATGCAAATAATAGAAAAAAGAATTATACTCACAGCATAGCGAAATTGGGAGTTAAAATTTCGATCATTTGCGTGGATTCTTCTCTGATTATCTGCAAACAAATTAAATTTACACTTTTAATAAAATCGTCTAGAAAGATTACAATTTCTTTTTTGTTAGCGTTTCCTTACACAAAACTCTAAAGTTCTCAAATTGAACTACAGAGCTCGTTAGAGCAAAATTTACCTAGTTAAATTTATTAAAAAAAATAAATTTGTAGAGTGATTTCACACTCAATTTAAGCCATTACAATGTCACATGCTAGCCTCTTTATAAAAGCGAGTTCAAGGATAATGCCATACTGTATGTTGCGTTATTACACCCATAAACGAGCCAATCAATTTTTATTGCACTGAAATCGCCTTTGAAAATCGTTTGCTTATTGATTTTACGAGATATCAATTAAGTTTCGGTTTTATTGAAACGAATTTAAAGTGATTATCAATTTCTGAGAACGCGTAAAAATTTGAAGAATAGGTTTTGTAATTAAATATATGGCAAAAGGTATAAAAATATGGAAAATAATTTTTCCATTTTACAAGTAAATGTACAAATTTATAATCCAAATATTATTATACTCGAGTTTATAGCAAACAACTAAAAAACAAAATTTGCGTACGAGAATCAATGTAAATGTTTACTTTACTGTTAGTTTTTGAAGCACTTGCCATATTTGTTAACAAGTTAAGTAAGGATCCTTCCCCGCTTTTATTCTCAGATATTCCGGCTCTTTCATATTTCATTTGTATATTTACATTACACTCTGACTGACATTTTTCGCATGTGTCAACCTATAAAATCCTATAAGGGCGCTTTCACTTGGAAATTTACTCAATGTCAATTAACAAGGTGTTAGCAAACCGCAAACCAAAAGGATTTCAATGACAAATTGATCAATATTTTTCACATATTAATCTATTTTTTTATATGCAGGGAGGTTTAAACTTTTTGTTATTGAAATAAAAGGAAATGAGATAAAAACTAGAATGTTTATATACATTCTTATTAAAATTGTATTTGAAGCAATCACGTTACTTAACAGATTGACAATTCAGAGTAAATAATATTTGCCCTTTCATCTAAAAACAAACATTAATTCTGGCATTTACTTAATAAAAAAATCTTTAAAATAACACAAAATAATACTAAAAGCTAAAATCAAACACTTCATTATGAATTGTAGTATTAACCTCTAACTAATTCACACATTGATAAGTACGTGTGATTTTTTTTATTGCTCTTTATTTAGTATTTTTTCATTCCACAAAAAAGTGCATTTGCATAACTTCAATTCTAATTACCTCGACGTACTTAATAATTAATCATCTGTAAATGTAGTAGAGCTGTAATTACATAGGAGTTCCAATTGACACCCGATAATTAAATCGTAGCAGAACTATTAAAGCACTAGTTTCTAAATTGTCCCATTAAAGAATCCCGAGGTACCCGATTATTAATTTTGCTGCGTATTATTGCATTCTTTACGTTAAACATTATTATGCAGTTCATTAATTGTGTATACGGGTAAGTGCAAATATATTTGTCGAACAAAGAAGGATTATTTAAATAAACAGTGGTTAAAGTGAGCACAATACCACAATATCGCTGTTTCTTTTACCTTGCTATGAGGTTAATGTAAGTTGTCTTTGTTGCACCTATACAAGATCATATTGGATACAAATTTGTATTTATCTGTATAAAGGTAAGTGCAAATTTGTTTGATATACGGTCAATTCTATGAGTTAAACGAAGGATTATTAAAATAAACAGTAGTTAAAGTGAGAAAGTTTCAATTACCACAATATTATTCTTTCTTCTTTCTTTATATGAGACTACTGGAAGTTGTCTTTGTTGCACCAATAGACCCTATTGCGTACAAATTGTGAGGTACTCGATTATTAAATTTTGTTGCATATTTTTGTATGCAACGCATACTTATGCGGTTCGTTAATTGTAAGGCAATTAGTAATTTAGAAAGGAATGTTTTGTCGAATTTCGTGAATAATAAGTTAGCCTTACCACAAGGTATGTAACCTTTTCGGAAGTCTTTGGAAGTATGAGGTGAATCGATTCGATCAGGAACGGTTGTCTGATATCTCCTTTGGTCTCTCCACACAACCAGTTTAGTAAAAACGCTCAAGATCGATTCTCTGAGACTCAAATGCCTGCGGTCGCTGCCTAAAACGCTATTTTTCGATTTGCTGAGGTCGTTATCGCCGCCTTCCAGACCCAAAACGGCCGTTTTCTGTTTTTGCTTGCACTTTTTCCTCGTGTGCTTCGAATGTCTTTTCGAGGTCTGCTGGTCGCTGTCGTCGTACACTTCGAACACCTCCAATTCGTAATCCATTTTAAATTCAGTGTTTTTATTTTATTTCGAACGGAATTAACGATGCATTTCGATAGCCAACCTTGCCGTGTCTTTCGGGCGCATATTCGACGATTTACGCGTGCGATTCGCGCCACATAATGAACCCGATTTGTTTATCGACTGATCGGTAAATGGGATTTGGTTAAGATTTGGTTGTTTTAGCACGCTTTCACTTCAACGCGACATGATATTTGTTTGGAACTAGAAATTTTACAACTACGTTCGATCATCTTTCGACGAATGTGTCAAATTTTTTTACCACTCTTCTGTCATATGTCAAATGTCACGTATTCGTTCGTTTCTCGAGAAAATCCCTACCGTATCGACCGATGCAGCGAATTTACGCCGCTCATCGATAGATGACACTATACAAACAGTTCGAAATTTTTCCACCATAGCCGTGCGAAATCCGCTCGAATTATTTAAAGAAATCAATTATGCCAGATTTTGAAGAAATCAAATAAATAATTCGATGTCAAAATGACAAGTTTCGTTCGCTATTGGTCAAAAAAAGTCGGCCATCATTTGGTTACCATAGCAACGTGCATTTTTTCTTCTGATTGGTCAAAAAATAAAAGCGGCCATCGGTGTCAAGTCGAGTTTTTTCTTATTGGTCAATAAGCACATGGTTCTTTTCAAGGTTGTCATGACAACGCTATGTTTACCTCTTTAATTTTTGACAATCACATTATTAGCAATCTGATACTGATTAGAATATGATTAGATACTACTAAAGTTGTCTTAATTGTATTTCTATATTGCAAATTTTATCTACTTGTATATTTTTACCCAAATTATGGCTTCGTAGATACCGTTTTTAATATTATGACATTATAGTGTAGAAAAAAAAAATACATACCTAATGCATGTGTTCTACTACTGCTTCTAAAAGACGACCTGCCCACCATTTTTCAGAAATGTAGGTTTAGGATAAAAGCAGGCGCAGGTACAACGTGAAAGGGAACAAACATAAGGTCACTTAACAATTAGGTTAAAAAATATTTCTCCTCCAAATATATCTCTAAGTACGTTTTTCGATATTAAAATAAGGCCACTTTTAAATCTTAGACTCTAAGTTTATAGTATATAAATACAGTAAAAAACTATAAAATACGATCGTATAAATATATTACAGAGGTAGAAAAATTGGGGACTAAATGATTCTATTTACTTTTTTTTTTTCGTTATATTTTTTCACTTAGTTTAAGTAGGATTGCGGACTGGGTAGGATTGTACAATTGGTCGAAGAGAGCCGATGGCGCAGGCGCTGTCGAGGCGGCGGAGGAGGACGTTGTCGATGGCGGGCGAAAGGGGAATACAGGAGGCGAGCATCAAAGCCTGCCGAACCAGATATCCCGGCCATGAACCGTTCTGCAAGAAATTTTTCTAATTAAAATCCACTCAAAAAAAATCTACTAATATAAATTTGTAGGGAATATTAACTGATTGAACCAATTTGTAAATATTTGAATGGTTTCTTGATTATAAAATAAAACAGCCCGTTTCCTGCATCGTATACATGAATTATATCAGAAATAGTCATAGTTAAAGAAATATCGATAACAAATAATAAAGCTTGTGGATTTCTAATTGTGGGAACCTAGCACATGCTATTACTCGTCTTTTCTCCTACGATTCGATACCATTTCACCAAGCTGCAGGTGCTTATTTTTTAAAGTCATTAATTATTTAATTTCGATCGAACAATTAATAATTAACAAACCTTTCTGGGTGGTTATTTTAAAGTTTATTGTTGTATTATATCCCTCTGTAAAGGGTTTCCCTGATATAGCATTACACGTTCTCAACCAGTTTTATGCTTCCGTAGTTTAAATGAACTTTCGAAAGTAAAATAACGTCGTAGTGCTATAATTTATGCAAATACAGTTGCTTATGAATATTAGAAGAGCTTTGCATAGGTAAAACATAAAATGACCCAAAATTCGATAGTTAATAAGACTAACAAGCAATATCATAGTTAACCATATCGACATACGAGCCTTATGAATATAATCGACAGCATTCCATATAACAGTTTAATATCGATTCGGGTAATAATTCATAAAGTAGGTGAAACGAATTGGGTATTTGGCAGTAAAAGCCGGCCCTCCCGGAGCTTCATTAGCTAACGCGTCGGGTCTAGCTGTTTATTTTCCACACGCACACAATTTTCTCATGACCTAACCACTGTGGCTAAAGCTGTGGGGGTTGCTTGTCACATACACATCATCGTTTTTGTGCGGTTTCCGCCGCCTTGCATTATTTATATTGATAGTGATCTTGACCCCTGGAATGCAAATTCGTTTCGGAAATCAATGGAAACCGGTTCGATCGCAAGGTTAATTAAAGTTGAATAAAAGCCGGGGGAAAATTTGTAGCAGGAAAATTGATTGAATATGGAGTACCTGCATAATGTTACGAATTAACGAAACTACATTTTACTAATTATGTATAATATACAGCTATTGATAAAGTATGACAATGAAGACAAAAGAGGTGACATAAATAACGATAATATTTAACGAATGGTTATTTAACTTCTGTGTACGGTTATTTACATTTTAATAAAGTTGGTGAGATTAAAATCTAAACTCATATATGCACCTATTTCGTCAAGTTAATCTCGTTTTAAATGTAGAATATGAAATAGTAAAACGAAATACCGTTTATTGCACTATTGTATTCGTTTATGAAATTTATTATATTTTATTTAATTCGAGCGAGTTTCGTACTGATAACATTATTTTCATATTTACGATTCGCTGGAATCTTTATATTTGCGCAACATTATGATTAGATGGTTTGCCGAATTATTTAGGTGTATCATAATAGGAAAATCTTTGGCTTATGATAAATCAAATGTGTCAAAACATTGTAATTTCTTTTCAAAACTCGAAAATTTATTATGACGATGAATTTAATTAGAAAATGTGGCTGCATTTGTGTGTGAAGCAAAATGTGGTGACAAAGGTGAAGATTCTAATATTTTGATACATTAATTAGCTTAGTTTGAAGTGTTATTATAAATAAATCACGTTTTAAAAGCAGGCAATTGAAATATAATCTGTTATCATTATAAAATAACGCGTAGAACGAGAAATTACTAATTTCAATTGAATCCAGTAAATTGATATTTTTGATTGCATTGATCCGAAACAATATTAAACAATAAGAATCTCACGCTAGTTGATTTTGTTCTATTTAAGGAATAATTGCCATCCAACGTCTTCATAAAAATATAGAACCAATTCGTCCTTTTTTGCAACAATTTTACAATCTACAAATAAACGACTTTATTCGTTTTTCTACTCGCTAAAAGCAACTACCTGGCAACTAGTAGACTTTTATTACATCATCAGAATTAATTTTTTCGGTATGTTGAAACACGAATAGTCGAAGAACTTCAAGGTAGACGGCCCCAAAGTGCGTGATACACTTGCGAAAATTATCATTAATCATCGTTAATGTTTAAATGTTAAAAATAATTCACGAATACAAACAATATGGTCTGTATTGGTACATTTTCTCTATTCTTTTAATTTATATCTTTATAGCATTTGAAGAAAGTGATGGTGAGGAAATTGGTACCTTTAAGAAGCATTATTTTAAATGCTTGAATCAAGTATGTGCGTGATTCGTTATTATTTTGCACTAATTACATAAATTTGCCTATAATTAAATATTGTTTTCATGCATAAATTGCGCTAAAATTTCCAATGTAAACCGTGCATTCTATTCCATTTTCTATTGATTATTCTTACAATATTATTTATTCGAATTTAATACATAACAACTCTCTTTTTATTAAAACTATAATGTAAAGTATCGAATATATGGCGTGACAGCTTCAACTGGATATTATTCATGAATTGCGGCAATTTCGTGTTTTCGTAGACCATCTGAAATATTAAAAATGTCCACAATTCGAGTTGGGATTAGCCAGTCTTTTGAGTACACATAAAAATGTTCACTCAAAGCAAAGCATGCAATGCACGGAATCCGTAAGGAAAATATTTACCGTATTATATCCTTCGATTAGGTAATTAACAAATATCGCTAAAAACACGAAATTAAAATTGTTTTCGCTCTTCACGTGCGTTTCGTACTAGATAATTAACGTTAGGCGTATATTCCACGATATATTCTGTTAATAATTAAATTTGTAGTGGAGGGTCATGGTCACTTCCGTGAAAAACCTAATACATTTTCCATAAAGGAATATTCACTTATAGTTTTACTTATAGTTATACAATATGTTCGTAAATGTTGAAGACTAAGTAAAAAAGTCAATGAATTATAAAAGAATGGTTTACTACAAGGATAAGAAAAAAATGTAATTTTTATGATCCAGTAACTTTCTAACTAATTAAAAAAATAGTCCATTTAAATGTGCTTGAAGAATACTAAATATTTGTATTGAAAGTCTAAAATTCCGCATACTCATCCGTGTAGTGAACGATGAAGGGGATTCTTTTTTAAAACTTCAAAATAAACTGCTCCACAAAAGTTAAGGAAGTTTGCAAATTTTGCGATTATTTTAAAAGTTTTTTGATCAACAAATTTTCAAATATGCGAAATTAAATGTTTTCTCTCATATCTGAGTGGATTTTTTGCCCCTACCTCTACAACTCATACTAAATTTGGCGATCAGAAAACTTGCAACTTTTAAATGAATCTCAATATTTGTGAACTTCCTTAACTTTTGTGGAGCAGTATATATAAAAACTAGGCCAGTAAATTAAGTTTACTTCAAATAGGTCACCTGCTAATTTTCAAAAACCTTACTAAAATATTTTAATTATTTTATTTACAAAACATTTGCATATCTGGTTCGATAACTCGATGAAATTTATTCCTTAACTACATAAGAGTCGGATAATTCTGCTCGCGGTACAAAATAACCGCTTTTCGTAATCAAGAAACCTTGACAACTTAATAAATTTAAAGATCCTATTAAATTAATCGGTCATTTTAAATAAATATTTTTACAACAAAATTTCCCGGCATACTTCACTAATGATTTCCACTTAAAAAAACTAATTAATAACCATTTATGAACCCCCCAAAAAACTATACCTTAATTCAGTTTAAAATCCATTTGGCATCGTTCGAGGAATGATCATCAGTCGAAACAATAAAATAAACCTCAAACACGGAATAATCGAAATCGAAAATCTCGAAAAAAAAAAACCACCGGACGAAAGTGAATCTCAAACAAGCATCCCGACCGCGAATTTCCACGCAGCCCGTTCTATCGCGTTATCACAGACACTGAACTGATACCGACCGAAAATGTGATAAACCG